TTCCGCAGCATGGAAAATGACTGGTGGGTTAAAAAAGAACAAGAAATTCAAGCATTTGCTGATGTCAATAACACACATGGCTTCTATGAGGCAATTAAGTCCATTTATGGCCCACAAAGAAGAAATTTCACACCAGTAAGATCTTTAGATGGCTCCACACTCTACAAAAGCAATCAAATGATTGCAATAAGATGGCTGAGCATTTCAGCATACTTCTAAATCAAAGTAATCCAATAACACCTACAGTACTGGATAACATCCCACCCATGCAGACCCTGCACCTCCTGGATGAAGCCCTGCTCCTACAAGAGGTGGAAACTGCAATCTATAAAACATGGAGGTCCCCATCTGACTGAGCGCCTCCATAGCCTCTTACTCATCATATGGGCCACAGAGACCGTCCCCCAGGATTGGGAAGATGCAAATATCATAACAATCTTCAGTGATACTCCGATTTACACGGTCAATTGAACCCACTGGGTACCGCGTAAAATGAAAGCAGCGTAAATGGAATAACAGAACATATGGGATTAATTCCAATAGAGACTGGCCCGACCCCCAAACTCCACTTTTTCCGACACAATACCTATGTTGTAGTAAAAATAACATCTTAATTTTATGATGGTATGCACACACAATTAATATTTAAGAGAAATACAGTTGCCAGGTTAATGTCCATTCAAATAATGGACTCAACTCCCGCAGGTCAGGGAATATTTTGATTGTAAACTTTATATATTTTGCACAAACGATAAAATATTTGCTTTGTGTAAACCAAATTATTACATTAGATCTAAAATTTGTATGTCTAATGCAAAATCCATGATGTTTATATTCAAATTGATCATCATATTTTAAGAATTCTAGCAATGTAAATTATATTCTGGCCAGGTAATTTGTATAAGTTGTATGAGCTAAATAAAAATTTTTTACTTCACCCGTGTATATGAGTAGATGCACCGCGTAAAATGAAATTCCGGTTCTGGCGAGGTACTGCGTAAAGCGAAACCGCGTAAATCGGGGTATTACTGTATGAGAATAAAGGTGACAAAGCAATCTGTGGTAACAGCAGGGACATCTTCCTCCTTGTAATTGCTGGCAAAATCCTGTCAAAAATCATGTTATCAAGACTTAACCAACACCTAATGGAGAACACTTCCTGAATCCCAATGTGGATTCAGGAAGGATTGCAGTACAATAGACATGATCTTCGCAGCTGGGCAAATTCAAGAAACGAGTCGAGAGCAAAATATAGACCTTTACACAGCCTTCTTTGACCTCTCCAAAATTTTCGACACAGTAAGCAGAGAACTTTTGTGGACTATGTTGGAGAGGGTCGGTGTACCACCAAGATTTTTAAACATCCTCCGCCAGATGCATGATGGAATGCAAGCCCGGATACTTGTGGGTGATGTGCAGTCAGAACCATTTAGTGTCCAAATGGGCATAAAACAGGGCTGTGTGCTAGCACCTGTGTTGTTTAACATCTTTTTTCTGGTTGTAGCACAACTCACACAATGCCCTTGGGCCTGATGCAGGTATGGGCATATGGTACCGTCTTGACGGTAGCCATTATAATATTAGACGTCTGGAAGCCTACACAAAGACCCTAACAACTCAGGTCATAGAACTATAGTATGCAGATGACTGTGCAATAATGGCACATAACAGAGAATCTATGCAATGTGCACTGGACGTGATCTCAGGTATTTACAGCTTGCTTGGTTTGTAAATTATCACCCAGAAGACATATTTTTGTCAAGCCCATTGCTCCACCAATAGAAACACCACAATTCTACATGAATGGAGATCCTATCAAAATAGTAAACCAGTTTTAAGTACCTTGGTAGCACTCTCACACCCACCTGCTCACTGGATATGGAAATTCAAACCAGAATCAATTTAGCCTCCACTGCATTTGGACATTTGAGAACAAGAGTCTTTCTCAACAATGACCTAAAATATGGAACGAAGACTGCAGTTTATCTAGTGGTTTGTATATCTACATTATTATATGCCTCAGAAACTTGGACGTCCTACAGACGCCATATCTAAATACTGGAAAACTTCCACACTTGATGCCTTAAGCGTATGTTTGGAATATCCTGGGAAGATACAGTGACTCATGAAGAACTACAGTGGTCCCTTGGTTAATGAGCGCCTCGGTTAACAAGCGCCTCGGTTAACGAGATTTCGGTTAACGAGTTGCCTTCCATAAGATTCTTAACTTCGGTTAACGAGCAATCCCTCGATTAACGAGTTTCTTACAAGCCGACCTGAACATGTTTTCGCTTGCATTTGGCGGTCCACCAGCTGTAGTATTAGTCCGCCAATACAGTAATCGGTTCTAGGGCTTAAATTCCTTACCATTTTAGCAAATATCAAGAAGTTTATACTATTCAATAATTTTAAAAGTTTAATATTAAATTTTTTAGTCATTTTAACAATTATTGAACATAATTGAAGGTAATGAAACTAGTTTTATGCGCACCATCCAGCCTCTCAACACACCATACAGGCGTCAATCTTTGTGTCTTTTCAGTGGGGGTAACATCTTGCTTGAGACTCTCTTCAACTAAATGCTTTTTTTCTGTGTCTGCAAGCAAATTATTGGTCATTTTGAAATTTATTTTACATGTTGACAATATATAATGCAGTGCAGAGTTGATTTAAAGAAAATAATCTTGAATTACACCAAGAGAACTAAAATTTTATGGGTGAAATGGCACCATGGGGTGACTTCTCTTCCACCCCAATGCCTTCTCTTCTCCCTTCTCCTCCACCCCCATTCTAATTCCCATCATCATCATCATCATCCAGGAGCTTTCTACATACACACATCAAAGTAAGTGTATTTTTCTACATTTTTTTTTTAATTTAGGCAATTTTCGGTGAGCTGGAACCAATTACCCAAAAACCCATTGAAACAATGGTTTCGGTTAAAGAGTTTTTCGGTTAACAAGCAACCTTCTAAAACGGATTGTGCTCGTTAACCGAGGGACCACTGTATATCGTCGCTCAAACACGACCAGCATGGAAACCATGCTAACCAGAAGACACTTGCGCTGACTTGGACATGTTATCAGGATGCCACACCACCGGCTTCTGAGAGAAATATTATATGGCAAGCTCTCACATGAAAACCGCTTGGTGGGAGGACAGAAAAAGAGATATAAGGACTACTCTAAAATCTTCTCAAGTGTTGTAATATACAACCAAATTCACTAGAGCAACTAGCTTCAGACCGTTAAAGCTTTATGGCGCTCAACATACCATAGAGGAGCGGAAACAATTGAGACCTCACTGAACCAAAAGAGAGCTACTAAACCAGCCCAACGACATCTGAGGACTCATCTACGGTGGCGTCAGAGGAATAACACATAACTCATCAACTTCTCATCTGGAGCAACGTCGTCATCGACGGCCATAAGCAAGCAAAGTGTGTCAAAGCCTGGCAGGTGCATCCCCTTCTGGGGCAATGTAATTTTGTGGGTCTCACTGGCTCACTGAGTGTGGCCGGATCTGACCTGACCTGACCTCACGGCTTCACCTGACCTCATGACCTGGCCTGAAGGCTGGAGCACACCTGCATCGCCCCAAGCTATTGTCTTGGCCGCGTGGCCAGCCAACATTTCAAGGGAGTGGCTTGGTTCGAAATGGTACGATAAAGGTACAAAAAATTAATCGTACTTTTGTACCGTACCGAACTTTGGAAAAGATATTGAACCGAAATGTCGAACCGAACTCTTCTCACTCTCATAACCGTGCCGTACTACATGTTTTGGTGGTGTTGGAGGGAGCGTGTGTGTTATGTTGGGGTGTGTGGGTGGTATTTTGTGTGTGGGGGTGGTGGGTGGTATTTTGAGTGTGTGGGTGGTGGGTGGTATTTTGTTTGTGTGTGTGTGTGTGGGAGGGTGTGGGTGGTGTTGGGAGGGTGTGGGTGCTGGGGTGCTAATGAGTGGCTGCTTAGTACACAGTGGCTCCCAGAGCCTCCGCCACAAAAAATAAAAAGAAGTCTGGACAATCGGCAAGTCCAGATCCCCTTTCCCCAAAATTGTCCGGACTTTTGAGGGTTTACTGTTTTTTCATACTTGACACAATTACAGTCTCTCCTATGTAATAGAATAAAAACTACCCTTATTTACTTGGATGATAGGCGATAAATAAATATTTCATGACAGCAGTCTGGGCTCCGGCGTCAGGCATCGTCTGCAACTCGGCATGATTGTGTTCTGGTTGAGTCTTTCACTGAAAGATGGCAGCACGACTCAGGGTTAGCGGTGCACTTAAACTCTTGGAACATACAGTATAAACCCTTAAGTCGGACTAGATGGGACTCAAGCTAGACCGATTTATTTATAATTCTGACTTATGCGGACCCCTAATTTTGGCCATGCATTTTGCTGAAAAATCACATCCAAAAACAAAACTAAATTTAACGGTACTTGTTTGCAGTGTACTTACATTGTAGCAGATGAATTTTTAGATTATTGTAGCAGACAAATCTTGATGACTCTTGAGTTGGAGGACTTTAACTTGCTTTACTGTAGTTTCACTTATACTATTTAGTTTCACTTATATTTATTTGTACAGTTACATTTATATCTAGCATTTATTTCATGGTTTAATCACTGTCAGAATTGAGGATGCGAGTTGGGAGATCGGGGATTACCACTAACTCTGACTCAGAAGTGTTGGGTGAGTGATAAACCCACAGACCCTAGTTTGCCTAAAAGGGGTTTCCGGCTGGAGGGGGTTTTACTGTAGTCGATTTAAGTAGTGAATAACAAAAAAGAATTGACGCTGTGTACTACAGTTGATATTTACGGTGTAGCTAAATGATTTTAAAATCGAGTACAATCAATTAGCACAGTAAAAGGGTAAATTTATTTGAATGTAAATCGATACATTGCATACTTGTTGCCGGATAAAAAATTACGTTGAAAAATGAGTGCATTATTGTCCCTATAGCTTCTTGTTCATATACCTTTTATTTCCAGGTAGCATACAGGGTAAAGATGCCTGAAGAAAGTGATTTTTATAAGGACTTTACCTTTGTGGAATCTACCAAGGATTATTTAAAAGATAGTTGGGATGAAGTTCTCAAGTATATAAAGCCTAGAAAGACGGTCAATGTCAGTGAAAGAGTCGCCAGGATTCGTTTAGAAGAAAAGGAGAAAAAGAAGGTATGTATATCTACTTCACCCTACATCATGTCATATTGTCACATAGATTTTTTTCTCATGTTAGTGGTGACTTATTGCGGTTCCTTTCATTATTCTGCATTTTTTAACCATTAAATCACTGTTACCCATTCCTTTTCTTGTTTTTGTATTGCTTCTATATACTTAATCAATACAGTATTCTTATTATCTGCTGTAGCTAGTACTGTAGTCTCACATGGGGGAGCACACACTGAATGTCTTATTGCCACATTCTGTCCCTGAAGGGGGCAGTGATAGGTACACATGCTATCCATTCATTCATATTTCCATCCTCGCATGCTTCAGTCTGTGAGTTGTACCACAATGACTGTAATGCACAAAATTTTTTTTAATCAAACTGTGGATGATGTATACCACAACGTGATTGCAGAAGAGCTCAATAATCAATATCTTGTGTCATTAATATCTAGAGTTGTGGCCTTTTGGACTTTGCTGTGGCTTGGCTCTGGACTTATCCACCTTTGTTGGCAACATTGTATTAGGTGCTTTACTAAATTCTTGTACAGTTGTGTGCAGTATTTGATATTTAGAGAAGCCATTGTAATTTCTTTAGAATTTATAGACTTGTTAGTGTGCTTAGAATTTAGTGTCATTTACAGTGCAAGCCTTTGTTGTGCATTTATAATGTAGAGGAGATATGTTAAAAATTCTTAATTGATTTTAGTACAATATATGGATCTTTAGTTGCATAAAATGAACAGGTGATACAACATAGGGTAATCATGTCTTCTTTCAGAAAAAGAGAGAGAAGAAGGGGTTAGGAGAAAATGGTGAAGCAGATATGAAATCAGAACCAAATGACAGCGATTTGACCGAGAGTGACTCAGACACAGATTTAGAAGGTCTCTCTGAGGAAGAATTTCTACCAGATGTGATGACACGAGGTAAATATCCTTATCATAGCTCATGGTGGTTTAAAAAAAAATAATGCCTGTGTAATGCTTTTTAAAACATATTTAGTCTGTATTAAATAGTTAAGTATGTATAATATGATAAATTCTGCTCATTAAATGTTTCCTCTGTAGTATTATTTATTATTATTTGACAGATGAACTAAAGCAAAAGGAGGCTGAGGTAAGACGGAAAGAGAAAAAGAAGGATCGGCCAGCCAAAATAAAAAAATCATTCAAAGAAATTGCAGAAGAAGAAGCTGATGCCAATTTTTTTGAAGATGCTCCATTGTATGAGTCTGAAGTTACTTTCCTGGAGATGAATTTTTCAAGATCAATTCTCAAAGTAAGTCAAATAAATTTTTATTTAGGATAAGACTGGAGAAAAGGTAAATGGAAACAAAATACAGTCCTAGGGTGGTGTCTGGTGGAACAAAACTATGTTTTTGTTTGTTAAGATTATGATGGAATTGAAATGGATAGACTTGGAATGGTATTATATTATGTAATGGAGTGATTGGTAAAGAATAGAGTGGATTTATATGTGGATTGTTTGCTCTGCCATATTTTTTGTATTCCCTAAGTCAATAAAGAGGGTGAAATAGTAATGCTTACACCTCTATATTGGTGCATGGAAAGATTTCCCATTGATCTCCATAGTTACTAAAAGTAGAAGTATGGTATTCATTCTATAAAGTCATTAATGTATTATTGCATCTTCAATATGGGGCTTAATTAAATATACCAAGTGTGGAAAAAGGCTGTAAAATGGTGATGACGATGACTCAATTTATGCTCCTTGAAATTTGAATAAGTGGGTGTTCTCCCTTGCATTTTGGAATTTTGCTGTTACTCATACATTTTCTTGTCTTCTTGAAAGAATAATGATTGTAGAAATGTTATGCACTGTTAATGTTACCAGGAATCCAATTTGTTTAATGGGGAGAAACTAACATGCATAAAAAAGGGCTTATGAAGAGGACTTACAGTGTCAAAGTAAACATTGAAGTTAGATGATGGTTTTGCCACTTTGATTGTAATGTTTTTCTAGTACAATAGTACCGTACTGAACTGTTATTAAATGATGGTAGTAAGCAACAGTGGTGGTAGGTCTAATGTGCTGCTGAGTGTAAATGAGACAGCATTAACCGAATGACCTTAAAAATTTTTACAATAAGTTCAGACTTGGTAAAAAAGATTAAATTATGCTGGATATGTAAATGAAATGGGAGATCGACTTAAGGTGTAAATTTAAAAGCTAGACCCCGACTTACGATGGGGTTAGGGACCCAAATCCAGGTCGTAAGTTCGAATGGTCGTAAGTCCGACATAGATAAAAAAAAAAAATCTACAATGAAACACAGTACAGTAAAAGTAATAAATAATGAGGAATGGATACAGTACAGTGAAAGTAATAAATAATGAGGAATGGATATAGTGTGACTGAGCACTTACCTTTAATGTAGTCAGGTGAATGCACATGGGGCCCCCATAATTTTCTAATTATACATGGAGACTACATTAACTGGAAACGTTTCGGTATAGAAAATGCGTGTCATTTAAAAAAAAAAAAATGGTCACAACTGCGGCGGTCATAAGTCCCGACGGTCGTAAGTCGAAGCAGTCGTAAGTCGGGGTCTAGCTGTAATTATAAGTGTGTACAATTAATATTCCAGTAACTAGGTTAACATTCACTGTCCTGACACTAGGGAAGTGTCCGAGTAACTAGGTTAACACTCACGGTTTTGGAAGCAAAGGGAGCATCCGAATAACTAGGTTAACACTCTTGATCTTGGACGCTAGGGTAACATTTGAGTAACTAGGTTAACCCGTCGAGCGCTAATCCCGTACTTATACGGGATGGGTGACCAGCCACGACCATAACTAATCCCGTGTAAGTACGTGGGTAGATTTAGCATTGTCCTGAACTCATATTTGTGGTAGTAGCGAGATGCGCTTAGAGCTACATTATCACCCCCTCCTTGCCTATTGGTATACTGCTTTCCAGGCCACATGGCTCCATGCTCTGCATGCCATAGCGGCGACAGTGTTCATCACTCAGTCAGTCACGCTCACGCTAGCCACGCATGAACACGTCACACCACTCTCGCTCCAGTATGAGCCTACATCAGAGCTTACCTCAGATGATTTTTCTGAGTTGGATAATGACCCACTCTATGATCAGAATACTTCATCTTCTTCAGATGAAAGTGAAGAGTTCTTTATCCCTGACGCAAGGGGTCGCGGCAGGCCAAGGAAGAGTCCTGCTCGTTTTTCACCCACAAGGTTGGAAGAGGAGCAAATGGATGATGTTAGCGAATATGATGGTGAGGAATCTTTTTCTCCATTCCTTAGTCCAGCTGTGAGGAAGAGAGAGAGAAAGAGTACAAGGGTATGGTCACCTCACCCTCGCCTGAGCATATCAACGTTCAGTCAGGACACGCCTCACCGCCAACACCCACACTCCTCTCCACCATTCCAACCCGTCTCTCCACCGCCACCAACCTTTGATGTTTCACCATCATCCACCACCACTTCATTATCAAATGGTGGAGGAAGGAAGGGGAAAGGGAGCAGATGGAAGGGGCAAAGAATAGAACATGAAGATCCTGTTATTCCTGCCACTGCTTCTGCTAGCACAAGTTCCCGTAACTCTACCTCACCACCACCAAGGAAACATGCAAGAGCAGGTGGAGGAAGGGGAAGAGAGGAAGAAGATGTATTTTTATGGGAGAAAGGAGATGATTTTACCTACTCCTGCATTCCCTTCAGTGATGCCGATTCCAGTTGTGTTGTCCCGGAGCCAACTAACACAAGCAGGAGGCTGTCATTCTTCCTCCACTTTATCACCACCGAGTTCATGATGATGATGATAGTGAATCACACGAACCAGTACAGCTACTACTCGCTTGGAGGGAAAGTTCTTGAGCCCAAGTCTAGAAAACTGAAATGGAAACCTGTGAATCTCAGTAAGTTGTATGTTTTTCTGGGACTTTCGTTACTGATGGGAACAGTAAAGAAGAGCTCTTACAAGCGGTACTGGTCATCTGCACCTATCCTAAGCATGCCTATCTTCTCCAAGATAATGGCCCTGAACCGTTTTGTGGACATCATGGGTAATCTGCTTTTGCTAACAGAACACAGGACACCATGAGGAAGATAAGGAATATTTTTGATCACCTCAAGATGAAGTTCAACTCGTCTCTCATCCCATACAAGAAGCTGGTCATCGATGAGAGTCTTATTTTGTGGAGAGGAAATATATCATTCAGGCAGTACATACCCAGTAAACATCATCGTTTTGGGCTCAAACTCTTCATTTTATGTGACTGCAAGACTGGGTATTAGGGTGTGTCATACGGAGGCGAATTTTTTTTTTTTTGAGTTTGAAAAATCGGCCCATGGTATTAATGATGTAGTTCTATGTGCAGAATCATGTGATATCTTCAGATTTGAAAAGTTTCCATTTTTTGCTAGGTAAATTTTAACTTGAAATCTTATGAAAATTCAGTATTCCCACCCTTTTACCAACACCACTAAATAGCTTATTTAAAGTAAAGTAAATGTATCAGGTTAATTTATTAGGATGAAAATGATCCAGAATAGTGAAACGAATGATCTTGACATATTTATTAAATTTAATATTCCTTTAGAAAACAAAATCATCAAATACAAAAACCAGTTTTACTACTACGACCCGGTGTTGCTGCACACCATAGAGAACATGTCTTTCTTGCTTCTGTTTCTACTCATCACCTCCCTGCTGACCACCTGAGCTCGGATGTAGCCTTCCCTCCTCTCCTGGCTGTACGTGACTGCTGGCCTCGCTCACTTTAAACATGCTGGCTCTCTATACTCTGGTTGATAAAGGGCCCAGGCAGGGACCATCATCGAGGTTATCCAACCTCTGGCTTAAAACGTTAAATTGCAAGCTGCAGGTAGAAACTCACCAGCCTGGATGTTATCCAGATCTATGAGATCAGTGAGGGTCTTGGCACCTAGATTGACTTCAGGAGTCTTCCTGACCCTGAAGGAATCGTCACCAACTGATTCGTCATGCCCAGATCCTCTCATAAGTCTCATATCCAAGATCTTTTTGGCTGCCACTCTTCTCTCCTCCTCATCCTTACTGCAGAGCATTGTTTGCAGAACTGCCTTGGGATGAGCATACCAGGAAGATCTCCTCACAGTCTGCTCCACAATCTGAACAACCTTCCTTGGCTGACTCCTCAGGAGCTCAAGCTGGAAGAGAACATGCCTCGGACCTTCGGAGAACGATGACTTGACCTTGGTGTTGAACCAATTTGGCAAGTAGACATTCACGATGAATTGGACAATAAGTCTCAGGTTGTGAAGCTGGTTCCCTTTCAGTTTATGATGAGCGACCCAAATTCTGCAGAACCTGAGAGCCGTTGTGAGCCACCTAGAATGTGAGACTGGACCTATCTGCAGGTAAGCAAGTCTATCAGGCATGACCCCAGTTTTGATGGCACTGCAAATCATGTAACCATAGTACTGGTCAGTACTCAGGTCGTCAATGACAGTATGTGCAAGCTCAACGAGTGGAGGGCCAACTGTGATTTTTTCAAAGCTCGGATTTATTTCTAACTCAGTGGCAGAGTCCAGCATCTTGCCAAGAGGACCAGACCATCTGTTGTTTGAAAGAGTCTTGCCATCCAGTTCCTGGATCAGATGTCTGAGTGGCAACTCGTTGGTGTGGAGGTCACAAACAATCCAGACCAGCTTCCTCCCAATCTTCCGCTCTATCCACTGTATGACCCCCCTTGCCACCCTGTGTTCGTGTTGGTGCTGTCCCCTCCAATGGCCTGCAGGGTCTGGTCTACGTTCCTCTCTCTGAGCCAGTTCACAATGTTATCTGCCACTATCTCAGCTGGTTTCCTGATGTCATCTTTCTCTGGAGTGAAATGCCACAAATACTTCCCTCCTGGGTCACTGCAGCAGGAGTAGTGTTCCTCCTTCACCATGGCAGGGAACAACTTGTCAGAATCTCCAACTTTCATGAACACTTTAGTGTCATCCCTTCTCCCATCAAAGAACAAACAATTGATTCCATTTTCTCTTATCCCCTTATCAAACTCCTCTTCTAGGTTACTGACAAGTTTCTCCCTGAGCTCTCCCTTGCTGTTATGATCTATCACCAGGTGAACATCATCAGGTGTTATCAAACCACCGTCAATCCAGGCAGCTGTTGCTATCTCTGCAGTTTCTCTGAGACCAGTGTGGTGTGGCATGCTGGCCAGAGCTATGCTGGGATATCTTTCCTGGCCCGAATCTTATGCACTGGAAGTTTGGGATCATTATTTTCTGGGTTAGGGACAAAGTCAC